ATATTCGTAATGCAGCAATACCTACGTCTAGAAGGACGGTAGGTAAGAGATATAGCTGTGAAAGTGTTGAGTTAGAGGAACCCAAGTTTGCATCAATCCTATGATGGATAAATGTGAGGTCTTCAGCAGAACATGTGTGTACTAAGACATATAAGTTTCTTGATAAGGAGCCTTAAGGCATGAATATCTATACACCCCTATGGTGAAAGACAATGAGAGATTCAGAAGATAGATACAAATCTCAACAAGTAAAAGAAGCAAGATGAAGAAGGGTGTGAGGTACCTAGTTAGTGAAGATGATCATTATTTACAATTCAGGAAGAGAGATATAACCATTTTGAGTTACCTTCAACAGTAACAAAGGTATGTACAATCAGCCACATCCAACTCAGTTATGCCCAATGGGTGCTAACATGTGTAGTTTAATAGAAGGACGGGATATCAGGATCCGGCTGGGGTTAGAGTAACCCAAAATGGTAAATGGAATATTTGCGTTAGTTGACGTTTCGGAAGGACATTGCAAATGTGCTAATATATCTTTTTGTGAGACACCGAGATGATGCACTCTAGAATAGTATAGCTAGATATGAATATTAGAATGTCCAAAAAAAATATTACAACGACAGGCACTAGAATCCTGGAAGGGATAAATATTACCTTAGTATGGCTCCCGTCCCTAATAGAGAGAGAATGTTAGGCAACTCGAAGAGCCAGTGGATGGAGCAAAAGGGAGCTAAAAGCAAAAGAATGTCTTGTTGAAGTTTTTAGAATAAGGTGATAGACAGAGATGTTAACAGGGAAATAAGAAGAGAGTTAATGAAGCATTATGAGTAAGATGTGATACATGGATGACAACGGTAGATCAAAAAAAATGATGGCAGTATTACAGAGTCTATAGCCAAGTGAAGGAAAAGACGAGAGTTGACAGGCCTTGAGACAACAAAAGAGTATAGGCCATAAAGTCATATCCTCATTTTGAGAAATAAGTACTTGACTCTAACGTGTTACCAGAAGGAAAAGTTAGACCCCAGAGTAATAGAAATCAATATGGACTAGTGAGCAAGATAAACTAAACCTGAATTGGGGGCTGAGTAATAGTCAGCATCATGAAATTTTCAGATTTGCGTTCCGGCAATAATAAAATGGACAACAGAAGAATAACCTTTAAAGATCATTCAGGAGGACGCTTCCTTAAAGCAAGCAATGTGAGCAAACTTAAGCTTCAGGGACTGTATGTGCTAGTTACACTAAGTTTCACCATCGCGAGTAAGGAAATTTTGTTATCCTTGGTACAGAAAGATTACCGTTAGGCAAGTAAGGGTCATCGATGATGTGAAAAGACGCCAAAAATGAAGAGGTAAAACATCTATACGTAAATCATCATAGCACTAAATCTTAGTACTCCCCTAAAGGGGGAATATGGAGTGTTGTGATATTAAGTCAGAATTAAGTGGTTCTAGTAACTATGGAATGGTAAAGGAAGAATGCGATAAAAATAAGAAAGGATGATATTGCACTTATTCAATCCTACAGATATGCTACGGTTCTAGAACATTATTCAAGCACGACGTCAAGGAAAGGAAGTAAGGGTTCCTGCCCACGATGTTATTGATAGATAAAGAGCCAGTGCGAGTCGTACGTTAAGATAAAGGAAATAACCCAAGAAATATTTTGCGAGATATTGATATGAGAATAGGCCAACTAGTAGTTAGTAGTTGATTCAGGAAGATCCTAGTTATGGCTAAACAAGAGGTTACAGACAAATCAGCGGATCATGCAAAATAAACATAGTAAAACCCAAAATAATGAATTCAGCCTTGCGGTTATGACATTGTAATACTTGAGATATATTCAGATAGGAGTTGGGTTAGTTAAAAGGTACCGTATAAGTATTGCGGAAATAAAAGAGAGTGACACTGGAAAGACAGTTAAAATATCACTTCATAAGCAACCCTACAAGCACAAGGGCGTGGAGGTAATTAACTACAAATAATTATAAGCGAGGAAGGACATCCAAAAACATTATCGGGAATACGATGTAATAAGCTCGCAGCTTTACAAGGGCCAGAAGGTCTCCCTAAGTACTACAACGAAAGACTAGCTGAGGAAATAAGGAAGAAGGTTTCAACCTAAGCACAGTGACCTAAAGAGGAAATGGTCGTGTAACAACAGTCTCAAAACAACATTATAAGCACTCCAAAAGAAAGTGGCACCTACCGTGGCTAATGAACAGGAAGTAAAATCAAAAGTAATATTCGACATCATATGAGTTACACGAAAACTCCGGCAGGTGTAGGAACTAAGATAAGCTAAGTATGCATGCAACAAGGGGGCAGAAAGACCAGGAAAAGTAATAGCTTACGTTTAAGGAAAGCTGAGAAGGAACGAAAGGAATTATTCGATCAATGATCCAGAGTTAGTTATGTTATGGACTCACTTAAGAGTTCGGAGTATTATCCATGCAGCATATATGTTGGTAATCATACAGCCGTAGAAGATTCTGGTATAAGTTAAAAGAAAGAATTGAGCTCAGGTCATAGACAAAGGATTGAATTATTAAACGATTATATCATAAATATTCCATAGCACCCATGAAAGGCTAAAAGTAATAACTAATACCATGAGCCGCAGATCGGGAGATAGCTTAAGCCTACAGAAAGGTTGATCAGAAGGAGGAGGAAACTAAAGAGTTACATCAACAAAGTAAATCAGGAATCTAATTATTGGACCCAGAAAATTATAGACCTCGTGATTGAGAACATTGCAGGATTACTCTTAGATATCATAGGTACAAGAGAGATAGTACAGTAGCCATATTCTATAATGGCTCTACAACAAAGCCAGTTAGAAAAGTACCAGCCTCAAAAGAAGTCAGTATGAAGCTCCCACTAGATTGTGTATGCACCAGAGGTGCAAGTATTATAATAGAGCTTCAAGTTGTGGATGTGAATTATACCTATGTGAAAGGGAGATTATGAAAAAGATAGAACATGTGAGGCGATATTTTACGATAAGTAAGGTAAAGATTAACAACATACGAGATAATCAAATGCAGAAGGTTGTGAATAGTCCATACTTTGAATATAAGGCTAGAAGCATGGGAATTCAGTATCCAGGAATTATAGAGGCGTCATCAGTGGCATATCTTTCAACCTATGGTTTTTTAAATATCGAGAGGTCTAGCTAAAAGAGTAAAGTAGAGTTTGAGACAATTTGATGTCTCGCTTGATGTTCCAGAATAACATAAGAAAATCTATGGTGAAAGCAAGTTGAAGGAAGGTTGCGAGTAGTATAAATAGGTACGTATAGGTCGCAAGCTAAAGTATGGTAAAGCGACAAGGTTTTAGGAAGACAGGAGTAAGAATAAGAAAGGGAAAGTGAGAAGGTAACGAGAATGGATAAGTCCTCGGGAAGCCCATGAAAACAAGAAGAGCTGATGGTTTCTCTAAGTTATACAAAGCTCAGTATAGCCTGAATGAACTCAAAGGAGTCCAAGACTAGTAGCATTTAGAAGAGAAGGAATGTTGCCCCTGTAGTAAAATGAGGGTGTAATTGTGATAGATAAAGGATGACGTTTGGGACTTCGTTTGAGTAATGATTTGAAGAAAAAAAAAGGGATTTCATGAGTTGTACGGGATTAAAATGCCCACATAAGGTGAATCACATTAGGATTCTATGAAATACGGTTATGAAAGCATTGTATCGCCCCCATGTGGATCAGGAAAATCACTTCAAATGTTGCACGTTTCAACGTGGGCCCTAGTAATTACGTAAAAGGTTTCAAGTTATCATTGGTAGATTGTATATCAATATTGAGGTGAATCAACAATGGATGGACAAAAGTCAGAAAGTATGAGATGAGATTAGGCTATCATTCTTAAGATGAACAGTAATGAGGAAGCATTAAAAGACTTAGATTTATATATATGGGATAAGCTACAAAAGTAACCTGGAGTTTGGTAGCAGGCCTCGGTAACGATAAATCGAAGTAAGAGTTATGGTACAGTATGACCTACCTAGATGCAGTAAAATCAAGCGGATGGATAACCAGGTCTATGAAATAAGATATAGTAATATTCGTAAGTTCGACAAAATACCGAGCGAAGAACTTCAGTAATGGCTAAAAATCGAAGGAAAAAGGAAAAAAAAGTCGCATAGGCGCACTTACAAGGTTAGAGTCGTACAAGTTGCATGATAGAAGGTAGCAACAGTTATGAGATTAGAAGGATTCCGACCATAAGTTGTGGTATGAGAAAGAGGCCTAAAGTGGGGAATGCCTTGGCCTTTGGATTTATTCACAGAATAATTGCCTAAATGGCAAGGAGAGTACTAAGTATTCACAAAAGCCATAGGTTATAAAAATGATAAGTGCATCAGTCAACATTCGAGGACGAATGTTCCAAAGGGAGGAACGATATTACACCCTATATTTTTGTACGTGAAAGTATGCCATAAGTAAATTGATGAATGCTCGAAAATGAGAGGTAACATTCTGGATTTTCGTACATTAAAGTTTCATCGAAAGATAATCGACATAAGCTCGGCACAAGATTATTTTGGGGTTATAAGAATTAAGCTATTTCAAACAAGTGATAAGTAAATTTGTGAAGATGAGAGGGTAAGCAAATCGAAGAAAATGAGTTTCGTCAAAGTTTGGCAATTTGGGGATAGAATACGGTTCAAGCTATAATACCCCGTAATTATGGACTAGTACCATACAAGGTACCACATGACCATGATAGTAAGGTGTATAAAGTATGTTAAAAGTGAGTGTATTTTGAGTAACTGAGATAATTCTTGATTATGTTGGTAATTGGTTAATTATTGATTTAGTGGAAAATTAACCAAATTAATTAAAGGTTGTGGATAATTATTTAAGATTTTGATAATTATTGGGGGGGGGGGGGGGGGGTACGACAATCCACGTGGGATTATGAAGATATGGCAACAAATTGCAACCTAATCTTATACTTAAGGAGGTGGTGACACTATCCATGTGCACCTTATCTCATTATTGGGTTGAAAGATTCTATTAAGGCTTCTCTAAATTCGCAAAGTGAAAGGTATATGAGTTTGTAAAATTACAACAACAATACGGATGAAGATTATGACAAAGTGGGATGTATTAGTTCATTTTGGGGGAATGTTGAACAAGGTCTCTATTACTAAGTTACTATAGCATTGTTTGCTAAAGGAGCAGCAACGTAATGTACAATGGCAAGATGAACGACATGTCAGGGCAGAAAAGTTTTGCTATTTAAGGTAAGAACAGATTAAGCTTTCTCTACTTGATTCTCCCGTCGATTTTTCGATTCTAATATCGACTCTCTATGGTTGTTTGCGGATCGAAGTAATTTCGTAGAAATGTACAGTGGAAGGAAGTTTAAAAGAGGGAAACAAAAGTACACTCCATCATCAACGACCTTCTACAAGCTTGCCACTAATCCATTGTTGTTGCGTTATTGTCGTCTCTCGTAGATTAAAGTGTGTTGGAAGGGCTGTCGTTGTGGTTACTAAAGAAAGCCAACAACGGTATGTTAAGGCTATCCCTTTTTTCATTTTGGTATGATTCAAATGATATAAACGAAACGAGCAAACGAATAGCTTTCATAAATGACTCTATTTATAGAAGTACTAAGGGTTTCTATGTTCTTGATTCCCCATGTGATATATTATTATATCTTCTGTTCATGGGTCTCGAAAAATACGTAATTTGATAAAGTTTTACTTCATGACATTAATCAAAGGCATAATGGTCTTATCACGTTCCAAGTGATTTTATTGACGTACTTCTCATGCATTGCATTCATTTATACATGTACATTGGCCCATGACTAGATGGTGTTATATATATATATATATATATATATATATATATATATATGGGAAAAGGTTACGGCGTTATATACGCAGCACCACCTGATCAGCCGGTATACATTGATGATTTTGCCCACAGTGGCCGAGATGATATGATGGGATACTCTCAGAGGCTTGATGATACTACGAACATATGTACCTATACACGACATGACATTCATACGCATATGCATGACACTATAAGTATTTCATGATTTATAGAGTTATCTAGACTTACACGTTGAGTCATTTACTCCATGTTTCTTTCATGTCTTTTATATACTTATTTATGTGCATTACATATTCGGTACATTATTCGTACTGACGTCTCTTTACTCGGGGACGCTGCCTTTTATGCCCGCAGGTCCCGATAGACAGGTTGAGAGTCCTCCAAGTAAGCTATCAGCTCAGCAGAAGGTGTTGGTGTGCTCCATTTGCTCCGGAGTTGCCTATTTGGTCAGTATGCATTGGACACGTATTGGTTGGTATGTCGGGGCCCTTTACCGGCCTTATGACGGTCATGTACTCTTAGAGGCTTGTAGACATATGTCATGTACGTAAATGATTGTATGGCCCTGTCGGCCTATGTTTAGTGTACGAGTGATCATTTTGGTCTTATAGGTCGTATGTCTTATGCATAAGTTGGTATTACATATTTTATTCTAGTTATCCTACGACAGCCTTTTTGTCTCATTTACTTATGATATCATAATACGAAAAGATACATTATGTTGGTATTCGGTTGAGTAAGGTACCGGGTGCCCGTCGCAACCCATCGGTTAGGTCGTGAAATCGGGGTCGAATCCCTCATAGAACAATATGTAGTCAATTAGGCGTGTAAGAGAAATATCACTTATTATACTAAGCCAAACACTTAGAAAAGTTTTGAGAAAATATTTATAACTAATTGCGTAAATTTAAACTAACCTATAAAGCAAGTAAAATGATCAGTGGCTACAAGCATGGATGCATTGGGAATTAAACTCAAGTAACTATCCAATGTATTTCACAATTTTACAAATATGAGCGAGCTTATGTTAATTAGCCTCGGGTAATAATTCTATATTAGCTTCTTCCGAAGACTAACAAGACTTCCTAATTGAATTATCCCTAAAATAATTAAGAGATTAAGCACACCCGAATATGGCTACAAGTAGTTCAATCCTATCCTTAGGTAGAATCTATAAAGTGAGGGATAAAGCCTCAAGTTCTTGTTAATTAATCTTTCCCAACCCCAAATTATAATTCCAAAAATTAATTAAAAGTAAATGGGCGAGTCATAGGGTTAGCTAATCCCTTTGAAAATATTAAAGAACAAGAATAACTAAAGAAACAATAATTCACTTCATAATAAATAAAAATCGTTCAATACACAAGCACAACAAGATATTTAATCCACACTTTAAATATGAATATTCCTATAAACAAGATTCAAGTGTTGGAATAAATACTACACACTTAGATATACAATACAAAGCAAGAAAATGAAGAAATGAACATAAATGGGTAAGAAATTCTCAACCAAAAGCTTCAAATCTTCAAAACTAAAGTTTGTGTGCAAGAACCCTAGCTTCCAAACATGTCTTCTCTAGTCCAAAGACTGGAAAATAAGCCAAAGATATGTTTCCAATAAGCTAGGTCGTGTATTAAAGGGTTTGGGGGCAAAAAATGTGAAATTACAAACTGCTTGACTGGGTTGACTTCGCATTTGCGATTTCTTAATTGCAATTGCAATTTCTGCTATCTTCGCATTTCCCACATTTGTGTCACGATTGCGACATCTGAGGCCATTTTCCAAATTTTCTTCTTTTCAACTTCTTTTTGACTCGTTTCACTTGGTTTCTTCATAATCACTTCTAAATCATATAGAACCTATAAAATAGAAGTAAACGACATTAAACACACGATTTTATCAATCAAACATAGCACAAATCTAATCTTAGAGACGAGATAAGTTGGTAAAATACCAACTTATCAAACCCCCAAACATAAACTAGCTTGTCCTCAAGCAATGAAAGCGACAAAATATCCTTCCAAGTATTTAACTCAATAGTGCATCAATATCATGCCAAGTCAAAAAGGTCTACTGCAGGCACAAACACATGACTTCTATTGGTACAAACAATTAATACAATGCATATGAAATACCAAAAGTTTCTCATGAATTTCATTACAGTTCAAGTGCTCAAACACCGCATTAATCAAAGTAGCAACCAAGTCATGACACTAAAGCTTTGCCTCTTTATCACAATTAACTTCCCTCGTTCATTCTTCCCAATTGAAAATGGGATTATATTCAAAACTCTAATCTCATGTGCCCTCACACATAAGAGAGAATCTCACACTCATAAATCGCACTTCAAAACATAAATGGGATATCAAATGGAAAGAATTAACTCTCTCACAAAGATGTTAAAATGCACCCAAGTAGTACCATATGCTTGCCCTTCATATATTTCTTCACTAATATAGACACACTTAGTTCAAAATCAATTAGGAATTAAAGGGTTGTAGTGTAGGCTTTTGATTAAGGTAGGACACAATTTTGGTTAGAGTGACTCAAAACCTCCCTAAGCACTAGAATATTTTTCAACAATCCAACTAAACTTCCTTCAAGAACTTTTTCACCCTTCCTTCATTTTTTTATTTCATCACCTAGACTTCCATTTATTAACAATTCCTTATTTTTCCTTTTTTTTTCTCAAATATATATATGTATATGAATTGTTTTTTTAATTTTATTTTTTACCTTTCACTTTTTAAGCAACTCCCACATTACAACTTTTACAACCTTCACTCCCAAACTTAGGCTTTTAGCCTATGTTTATACTTTCAAAGTACTTAGGGAGGTAGGGTGCCAAAAAAAAAATCAATAAAGAACTAAAGTTAAATATTGTAACATGGTTTCCAAAGAAAAAGTTTAAAGGCTCAAAAGGGGTTGACTAGGGAAAATATGCAAGGGTAGGAAATTTAAGGCACAATAGTGGTCCAAGGAAGGCCTAACATTATTTCTCAAACCAAGTTAGTCTAGGATTTCTCCTTGAAGTACATTACGGGCAAGTTCTAAACTACAAATGATGCAAAAGAACTCACAATAAATCTCACCACACATGGCACATGAAAACTTGTAACGACCCGACCCGTCGTTACAGGAGTTACCGCCCTGTTTCCCCGTTTATTGCTTCTATATGTTTCATTTTATGTGTTTTGAGAATTTGAAGTAATTCGGACAGAGTTCGGTTAGAAATGAGACAATAAGTCTCTTTATGAGAAGGATTGTTTGGAAAAGTCAACCGAATGTTGACTTATGAGTTAGAAGGCTCGGAATGGATTTCTGATGATTCGACCAGTTTCGGGAGATGATTTGTGACTTAGGAGCGCAATCGGAATTGAATTTGGAGGTCCGGTGTAGAATTAGGATTGAATTGGCTAAGCTTGGATTTTGGCGAATTCCGGATGGTAGGTGAGATTTTGATCCGAGGGTCGGAATGGAATTCCGAGAGTTGCAGTAGCTCCGTTAGGTGATTTTTGATATGCGTGCAATGTTTCAGATCATTCGGAGGTGTTTAGGTCGGGTTTTAGATCAAATGCAAGTTTCGGAAGTTTTAGTTTAACTTAGGCTTGAATCCGTGGTAATTCGATGATTTTGGTGTTTATGATAGTGTTTTTATGTTACGAGCAAGTTTGAATGAAGTAATAGAACATATCTGTGCATTTGGCTGAGGTCCCGAGGGCCTCGGGGTGAATTCGGGTGGTTAAACGAGAGTTTTGAGGTGTATTGCAGGTCAGATTTTTGCTGTCATCTGGTGTCTCCGCTTCTGCGGAAATGGACCGCAGAAGCGGGTACGTGGTCGCAGAAGCGGTCGTTGGCCGGCTAGGGAAATTCCGCAGAAGCGGAAGGTGGCTCGCACCAGCAGGTCCGCATAAGCGGACACTGTACCGCAGAAGCGGTTTTGAGGGAACCCCAGAAGCGGACTTCGCGTCGCATAAGCGAAGTCCAGGATTCTAAGTGAAGATCGCAAAAGCGGAAATGTGGCCGCAGAAGCGGTCCCGCATAAGCGAAAGCGGGACCGCAGAAGCGAAAACTGGACTGGGCGACAGAAGGGTTTTAAAATAATATTTCATCCGCGACCCTTTCATATTTTTCCTCCATTGTTGATGTTCTTAAGAGCTTTGAACAAGGAAATTCGAGGGTTTTAACTGAGAATCACTTGGAGGTAAGTTTCTTGGCCTAAATATTCGAATATATGGTAGAAATTACATGTAAATTTGTAGAAAATTCATCAAAAACGGGCCAAGCTAGGGCTTGAAAAGTTATGATGTAAAAATAGATTTTGAAAGGGCATTTGAGCTCCGTTTTCGGTGAACTTTATATGCACGGACTCGTGGCGAGACGAGGAATCCGTTGGTGTGATTTCCGGAATTTTTCGAGAAGTAGACCCGGGGCTCGGGTTTTACCAACTTCGTGAATTTTAGTACTTTTCGAGTATTTTTGATTGGGTTATGTTTCTTTAACCCATATTTATGTATTCATTGTGATTTTGACTAGATTCGACGCGCGAGGAGGTCGATACGAAAGGAAAAGGCATTGCGGACCATTCTACGGCCGGATAGAGGTGAGTAGTTGGTGTATATGATGGCCTGAGGGTTTGAAACTCCGGCTTTTCACATTGTGACGCTATTGTAGGGCGTGACCCGCACCCCATGGCAGGTGCGGGATTGGTTATGACTGGGATTGAGACTTAGTCCATCCCGAACAAGAATGTTTCTATATTGGCGACTGATACGCACCCTGTATTGAATATATATGGGCTTATTGCCGTGTTTGGGGCCTTGTGCCGATCTGTAGCATCCTTAGAGGTTGAATGTCATTGTGATAGCATGCTTTGTATAATCGTTGATCTCAGTCCTGTGTCTAATCGCTGTTATAAAATGCTAAGTCACTAGTCCTGAAGTTAAATATCTAAAGTATATTCTTCTTAATAAATTGGAAATTGGAAAATTAATTGAATCTGTTACGTAGCTCATATGCATATTGTGGACTGAGTATGGATCGGGCTACACGCCGCAGCGAATGGTATGATTATATTGCGCTTGGGCTGAAGGAGCCCCTCCGGAGTCTGTACACACCCCCAGTGAGCGCCGTCGACGTTAAATGGATCGGGCTGTACGCCACAGCGTGTTCATGTGCATTGCATTGCATCCTTACATTTTACTGGACTGTATTATTTGAAGTTGTTTTGCTGTTGGATCGTAGTAAGGTGTAGGACTGTTAGTTTTAGCTTTGCTTTGTGGCATTTCGTGGATTTCTTATCTTCAGACATTTTATATGCTTATTACTCACTGAGTCGGTAGTACTCACCCCTACTCCCTGCACCTTGTGTGCAGATTCAGGTACACCGGAGG